ACTGAACTAGAACTGAACCAGAACTAATTAGAACTAAACCAGAACAGAACTAGAAACAGAAATAGAGTTTAATAAAATTTTACTACAATGTTTATATTTCATATGTAGTTTGTTTTTACATAATTTCCAATTTGTTATCTCAAATGTTTGCTCGTCACACATACGTACATATTTGTGTGAATGTGTATATTTGTACAAGTGTTACCAATTTGTAGGTGGTATTTGGTGTCCTTTTTAGTAAAATACTAGTAGAAACATTAACACAAAAGAAAACTTTTCTTTTGTGTCTATGTTTCTTAAGTTTTTGTTGTTGTTTGTATTGTAACGTTAAACTACAGCATGTTTAAGCTAACAAATATAGTTCAGGATAAGTAGGTGAATTTATAAGGTTTTATGAAACTAATTTATATGACTAGAAACAAGACGTGAGATGCCTAATGTCTACCTAATGTTGACACTTAAGACATTTTTAGGACTACAAAATAGTGTTCTTTCTATTCAATCAACAGGATTTTTGAACAGTGTTGATGTACAGAAAAGAATGTCAATATTTTATTTAGGCAATTTCTCAATTATTGAACTGATTTATTATATTAAGAGAAATCTATAACTTTTTGAGCACTAAAAAAAACATCATCCCTGTCAGTGTACATTGTCATATGTATGTATGAGTGTGTTGTAGTTTGCATACATATTGAAACTTGAAATATTTGGATTGTTTAAATGTTTAAAAATCGATATATATCGGTTTGAAATTTCCGTATCTCATGAAACGTATATGAAAACACACATACACACTCCCACTTACATACAAAGTCTTTCAATGAACAAACAAGTAAAGCGAACATTTCCTTCTCTGATTGCTTCAATGACTGTTGGTTTTGTTTTCAGCTTTTGTATTTTGGAAATCTTTCAAAAATCGAAAAAAAGGAAAGACACTTGAGTGTTCCTCATAGATTGTCCTTGTCAATTCTTATTTAGTTATCTCTGTACATATGTTAAATTCCAAAGTATTTGCTTATGTCAATTCAATTTGCTAGCTATTTCGTTTTCTTTATTTGCAACAAATTTCAACAAAGTCATTAAATTTTTGCACATGCAGTTTTAAGTTTTGTTGTCTGTTTTTGTTTTCCAAATTCGTCCTCCCACATTTGGGGAATTTTTATAAATTAAAAGAAATGCAACACAGAAATGTGGGCTGGTCAGACGAAAGATGTTGAACAGTTTCTTACTTGTAATTCACTTTAAAGTTTAAGTGGATAACTTGAAATTGTAAATGTTTATAGCTAAGTTTGAGATACATATTTTGGAAATATTACTTCTTATTTTAATTACATAAAAGTTTGTAACTAGCGGCTTAGTAGAAGACTTTGGCAATGTTCCTAATACAGATAAATAAACTAATATGAATATTGTCCTTCTTATCTTATCCTTCATCTATATAAAAGAGACTTGAATGTGTATGTGTTTGTCACTCCTTAACTTAACTAAACTAGAACTAAACTAGAACTGAACTAGAACTGAACTAGAAGTGAACTAGAACTGAACTAGTACTGAACTAGAACTGAACTAGAACTGAACTAGAACTGAACTAGAACTGAACTAGAACTGAACTAGAACTGAACTAGAACTGAACTAGAACTGAACTAGAACTGAACTAGAACTGAACTAGAACCGAACTAGAACCGAACTAGAACTGAACTAGAACTGAACTAGAACTGAACTAGAACTGAACTAGAACTGAACTAGAACTGAACTAGAACTGAACTAGAACTGAACTAGAACTGAACTAGAACTGAACTAGAACTGAACTAGAACTGAACTAGAACTGAACTAGAACTGAACTAGAACTGAACTAGAACTGAACTAGAACTGAACTAGAACTGAACTAGAACTGAACTAGAACTGAACTAGAACTGAACTAGAACTGAACTAGAACTGAACTAGAACTGAACTAGAACTGAACTAGAACTGAACTAGACTAGAACTGAACTAGAACTGAACTAGAACTGAACTAGAACTGAACTAGAACTGAACTAGAACTGAACTAGAAATGAACTAAAACTGAACTAGTACTGTTAAAATATCAAATTTATAAAAAAATCGATCTCTTTATTCAAGTTATTATTTTATTTCTATATTTTATTAACGATTTTCCCCAGTATTTCGTACATACTTTTTTCATGCTTAAATAATTTTTTGTGAGATGCTTTTAAATTTCACCAGTACAGGGTCATAGAAATATTTAAAAAAGTGAATAGATGTTTGTTTAAATGCTGAGTGGAGAATAATGGTAAACCTCTATGGGGATTATACAGTTTTAAACTTTTATTTTTATTGGTTGGAATAAATGATAAATACAGTTAATCTCAAAAAATAAGTATACAGAAATACTGACAATTGGTTTTATTTAACAAAGGATATTATTTTTTCAAAAATCAAAAAGATCATTTCAGTATATATTTGGTTTAATTATATTAACAAAATTTATGGAAATTTTACTTGTATTAATAAATAAAATATTTTTTACACATTTTAAATATTTTAATAAAATATTTTTTACACAATAACTTGGAAAAAATCTACTTTTAGTTCCGAAATCTTGAAATTTGGGCCGATTGGCTCCGGAATTAATTAGTAGGATAGTTTTTTTCCACTTTAGACCCCGGATTTTGGATCTGGTGGTCATTGAACCCTCCAAATGATGCATTGGAAATAGAATTTTTAACTTTTGAAAAGAGTTGTTATTTCGAAATTAATGTTATATGCATGAATTTGGCCATTTTGAACAGAATACGTTCTTAAAAAAACCGAAATTTAACTCCGATTTCTTAAGACTTACAACATAAACTTTAAAATTTGGATAATTCTATATATTTTCTTTAATTTAAACAGGTTTTCCAAATACTCCGATTTCCAAAGCATACAATAACGCTACCAATCATATCTTGATATACTTGATACAATAACCATGTTTTATGGATCGGACATTTTATTTGTTCTAGCAACAAATTAAGATGTATCTGTGTTCAAAATTGTTCAATTCGTATTCATACCACCAATTGAGCCTGATTTAATATAAAAATCTTACTATTTTGGACAATAATCAATTTCAGAACCGATATGTAGTGTAAGTTATTGACATGGTCACCATTTGACGATTATTGGTAGTATTTAGAAGTGTGTAATGGATGATTGGAACCAAAAAACAAAAACAATTAATTTAAAAGTTAAAATATCGTCTTCCAATGCATCATAATAAACAAACGAGGGATGTTATTGAATACCCGAGCCAAAACTCCGGGGGTTTAAATAGTCAGATGTTCTTAAATAGGAAAAATGCTCCTATAAATAATATTCAGATCAATTACCAAAAATTTAAATTTTTCGGAACAAAAAGTGAATTTTTTCCATGTTATAGTGTACAGAATTTTTATTATAAAATAATTACATTCAAACGGTAAAATTTTCATGAATTTTGTTAATATCATTAAGCCAAATACATATTAAAATTATCTGTATACTTATTTTTGTGACGTAAATTTTGCACCTTCTTAACTTCAGCTTAAATGAGAACTCAAAGAACCAAAATATGAAGAAAAAAAAGTAGTGAATAATAATTATCATAATTGTTTTTAATAAATAAATGTGTTACTTTTTGATTTTTGAAAAAATAATATCCTTTTTTAAATAAAACCAATTGTCAGTATTTCTGTATACTTATTTTTGAGATTAACTGTATATTAGGGTGACTTATAATATTGACACTCTTGAAAGTCCAAAAAAACCTTTAGGAAATGATAAAAATGTCTATTGTCCCCTAATATATTTTTCACAAACTTGAGTCTCTTCTACATATGACCGAATATACTATAATACCTATTTATTGAGTTAGTTTCTGTTTTTGTGTATGCAGGCAACTTCTTAATTAAGGAGGTGTTCCCAAATGGTATAAATTTAAGCTTGAATTTTTTGTAATGTGTTTGAAATATGGAAAAACTTTACGATTCAAAATGAATACAAAACGATGAAAAACTTGTATAAATGTTTAGAAATATGTATTAACATAATAAAAAAAAGCTAAGAAGGAAATAAAATGTAGATTTTGATAGAGTCAAGAATCGAACAGATTTAGAATTAGCCAAAGGAATTTGAGAAGGAAAGATCAAAATTTTAAGGTGGAAATAAACTTTGTGTTTGACAAATACTTAATATCATACCAATAATCTGCACAAACTGGAACTGAAATAGTGATGAACCAGAACTGAACTAGAATTAAGTTTGAACTAAAGCTGGACTAAAACTGAACTGGAACTGAACTATAAGTGAACCAGAATAAAACTTGAACTAGAACTGAACTAGAACTAGAACTGAACTAAAACTGAACTAGAACTGAACTAGAACTGAACTAGAAATGAACTAGAACTGAACTAGAACTGAACTACAACTCAACTACAACTGAACTACAACTCAACTAGAACTCAACTAGGACTCAACTAGAACTGAACTAGAACTGAACTAGAACTGAACTAGAACTTAACTAGAACTGAACTAGAACTGAACTAGAACTGAACTAGAACTGAACTAGAACTGAACTAGAACTGAACTAGAACTGAACTAGAACTGAACTAGAACTGAACTAGAACTGAACTAGAACTGAACTAGAACTGAACTAGAACTGAACTAGAACTGAACTAGAACTGAACTAGAACTGAACTAGAACTGAACTAGAACTGAACTAGAACTGAACTAGAACTGAACTAGAACTGAACTAGAACTGAACTAGAACTGAACTAGAACTGAACTAGAACTGAACTAGAACTGAACTAGAACTGAACTAGAACTGAACTAGAACTGAACTAGAACTGAACTAGAACTGAACTAGAACTGAACTAGAACTGAACTAGAACTGAACTAGAACTGAACTAGAACTAGAACTGAACTAGAACTGAACTAGAAAGTTTCTAATAAATCAAAATTATTTTCCTTTTTTCACTTACCCGATCTTGCGCCACTATCACACGAATTCAAACGTTGACTGGCCGTCGTATCAAAACTTCGAAATCTCGACACGCCACCCATACTGTTTGCCATTACAGCCGTTGAGCCACTACCGGAACGACTGAATTGCGATTTACGAGAACGGCCCAGAACATTATGGCTTTTTGAACGTTCAAACGAACGATCGTGATGACCTGAACGTGGTGAATACTTTTGAGCAGTCATGGAGGCCGAATGACCGGCCACACTATACGAGGGAGGAGCTTCTTTAACCGATGTATTTAGATAGGCAGTTGTTTTTTGATTCTGAGGAGATTGTGCAGAAGAAATAGAGGCCACAGGAGATTGATATTTAGGTGAAGAATCACGTGATTTTAAACTACCACTACTGCCACCACCCGAGTCTTTTTTCGTTAGATAATTGGGAGAATTGCCAGTTAGAGTGCTAAAATTGGGTGAACGGTCACGCGGCAAAGGAGCCGTGGTAGCCCTCTCGGTAAGATTGCCATCAAAGCTGCGGGAAAATGTTTCGACATAGGCATCTGTGGGGGTAGGTCGACGATTGTCGTATTCAAAGGAGCGGGAGAAAACCATGCCTTTATTGTTGACACCATTGACAGCTTGCAGATTGGAATTGTTAATTATAGCTTGGGGTTGTAGTATTGTGTGTTGCGGTGTCGGACGACTGGATATGGTGCGACGGCGATCAAAGGATTTTATTTTAGCACTGCTATCTTGAAAGGCAGGTGGTGGTGAAAGTATGGGTGTTATGGGAGGCGGGGAATCATGATCGTTGAGATTTTTAACAGGCAAGAAACCAGGACGCTCATTTAATATGGAAGCCAATTGAGGATCCACAATCCGGTAACCAGGCCTTAAAGCAGAATCTCGGGTATTGGCATTACCCAAACGAGCCTCATTTCTCTGTATCAATTCCTCCACTTTACTGCTCACAAACTTAGGCGGTTCCATCATAGAATGCTGATGCTGCAGTAAGGCCTGACGAGCCATATCCGAACGTCTGGTATTATCGATTTGTATCACACGTATAGTATTGCGTAAATCACCATTTTGATGATTATAATTGGCACGACGATAGCCACGATTTTCATCGTTGGCTCTTTTGGTGTTAACTTGGACCCAACCAGATTTATTCAAGTAAATTTCCTCTTTCGAGGAGGGACCCATCGATTTGCGATTCGAGCCCCCCGTTAAGCCGGTATAATACTGTTCTCCAAATAGATAAGTGGGCATATGAATGCCAGCACCAGCCGCCGAAGAGGAATTACCACCTACTGGTCCCCCTCCTCCGCCACCACCCATATGATAATGCATTCTGCGCGATTCCAGTTTCTCGTTGAAACTGCGCGAAGAAGCCTCTAAACTTTCTCTTCTCTTAGCCACGTATTGCTGAAACGCCGAGAGATGTTTGGTTTCTTCTGCCGTTAATTGAGCAGCTTCGTTAGCACCATGAGGATCTCTTAAATCTGGTTGTTGCTGCTGATGCTTCTGAGGACTTTCATGTCTACTGCGACAATGATGATGTTTCGAGGGACTGGCTCTTAGTTTGGTGCGTCTTTTTTGGGCGGCAAAGCTGGCAAGGGTAGAGTACTAACATCGATTTTATCCAGAGTTGAAGAAGATAATTCGTCGTTTTGAGATTCTCGTGTTATGGAGTCTTTAGTCAAATGACTATCATCCGATTGTGCTTCACTAGAGTCGAGGCAAGAGTAATCTTGTCTTTGTAAAGGCGGTCGACGTGTTTCACTTTCTTGCGAGAGAGATGATTGCAGGGTATTGATTAAAGGTACTATAGGTGAAGAACTAAAAAGAGAAAGAAGAGAATTTGAAAAATTAGTAAATTTTCAAAAAACTGTTTAGCAATTTTCTTAAATTATTTAAATATTTTATTGCAAATTAATTTAAACTTGTAGGTTTAACTTAAACTTAACTTTTATATAATTTAATCGATTTTTTTTTTTTTTTTCTAAAAACAAATAATTGTTAAATGTATTTATGTTGGCCTTTTCTCTGCTATTGTTGTTATTTATTTTTTCATTTTTCTCTCATTTTGTGGTCTTTTTTGTTGGGTGATTGTAATACGAGAGAAGTGCAAATTCATGTTTATTTCGAATCGATAAACCTAAAAACTAGTCCATTATATTTATACTCAACTCAAAATACAATATGATAAAAAAAAACTTGTATTGTGATACATCATTTTTAGAATTCTGCTTAAATGAATTACTTTTTTATTATATTTTTCTGATTTTTTTGATATTGAAATTTCATTGAATTTTAAATACAGTTTTTTTTTTTTGTTTGTTATCCTATTGGTCTTAATCCCTATGATTACGAATGCCAGAAAAAAAAATATTTAATTTTTTGTTGTTGTTTTTTTTTACTCAATGTTTATGTTACTGACAGACTATTTTGTTGTTAAGTTTAAAAAATAATCCATATGTGTATTAGGGCGTTTTTTACTTTTCTTCGAATTTCCAGGACTGCGGCTCGCATTAATCAGATATTGGTTATATAAATTAAATTTGAAAATATGAGATTGATTGGGGTTATCACGTGTTGTGTTACCCCTAAAGTTCAACAACGGAGGTAGATAGGATGGGTACCGGATGAGTAACTGAACGGATGGGTAACTGACGAATTCAAAACCGGTCGATGAATCGAGGTACGAATATAAACAATAGTGAGAGATTCCTCTCTACTAATATCTGGTGATTCCGAAAGCGGCAGTGCAAGAAGCCTCCTTAATTGAGTAAGTCCGAGGTGGGACACACAGGTCTACCAGTACAACTATAGGAAATTGGGCGACCGGAAACAGACGAATGTAGAGCTTGCTGGAATAATTTATCAGGTATTGCCAGGCTTTCTTTAAAATTACAACACCATTTCCAATTGTATTTCAGGACAATCTAATTGTATTTCAGAAATTATTTAGTTAGTTAGTTAGTTAGTTAGTTAGTTAGCTAGTTAGTTAGTTAGTTAGTTAGTTAGTTAGTTAGTTAGTTAGTTAGTTAGTTAGTTTAGTTAGTTAGTTAGTTAGTTAGTTGTTTTTTTTTTTTTTTTTTTTTTTTTTTTTGTTAGTTAGTTTAGTTCGTTAGTTAGTTGTTAGTTCGTTAGTTAGTTTTAGTTAGTTAGTTTCGTTCGTTAGTTAGTTTCGTTAGTTAGTTAGTTCGTTCGTTCGTTCGTTCGTTCGTTCGTTTAGTTCGTTCGTTCGTTAGTTCGTTCGTTCGTTCGTTCGTTCGTTCTTTTTTAGTTCGTTCGTTCGTTCGTTCGTTTCGTTCGTTCTTCGTTATTCGTTCGTTTCGTTAGTAGTTCGTTTCGTTCGTTCGTTAGTTTCGTTAGTTCGTAGTTCGTTCGTTCGTTCGTTCGTTCGTTCGTTCTTTCGTTTTTTAGTTCGTTAGTTCGTGTTCGTGTTGTTCGTTTCGTTCGTTTTTGTTCGTAGTTCGTTCGTTCGTTCGTTAGTTTTTTAGTTAGTAGTTCGTTCGTTATTTAGTTAGTTCGTTCGTTTTCTTCGTTCGTTCGTTCGTTTCGTTCGTTCGTTTCGTTTCTTTCGTTCGTTCGTTCGTTCGTTCGTTCGTTCGTTCGTTCTTCGTTCGTTCGTGTTCGTTCGTTCGTTCTTGTTCGTTCGTCGTTCGTTCGTTCGTTTCGTTCGTTAGTTCGTTCTTAGTTAGTTCGTTCGTTCGTTCGTTCGTTCGTTCGTTCGTTTTCGTTCGTTCGTTCGTTTCGTTCGTTCGTTCGTTCGTTCGTTCGTTTCGTTCGTTCTTTCGTTCGTTCGTTCGTTCGTCTTCGTTCGTTCGTTCGTCGTTCGTTCGTTCTTCGTTCGTTCGTTCGTTCGTTAGTTCGTTCGTTCGTTCAGTTCGTTCGTTCGTTCGTTCGTTTCGTTCGTTCGTTCGTTCGTTCCGTTCGTTCGTTCGTTCGTTCGTTAGTTCGTTCGTTCGTTCGTTTCGTTCGTTGTCGTTCGTTCGTTCGTTCGTTCGTTCGTTCGTTCGTTCGTTCGTTCGTTCGTTCTTTCGTTCGTTCGTTCGTTCGTTTCGTTCGTTCGTTCGTTCGTTCGTTTTCGTTCGTTCGTTCTTTCGCGTTCGTTGTTCGTTCGTTCGTTCGTTCGTTTCGTTCGTTTGTCGTTCGTTCGTTCGTTCGTTCGTTCTTCGTTCGTTCGTTCGTTCGTTCGTTCGTTCGTTGTTCGTTCGTTCGTTCGTTCTTCGTTCGTTGTTCGTTCGTTCGTTCGTTCGTTCGTTTCGTTCGTTCTTGTTCGTTTTTCGTTCGTTCGTTCGTTCTTTCGTTCGTTCGTTTCGTTCGTTCGTTCGTTCGTTCGTTGTCGTTCGTTCGTTCGTTCGTTCGTTCGTTCGTTCGTTCGTTCGTTCGTTCGTTTCGTTCGTTCGTTCGTTCGTTCTTCGTTCGTTCGTTCGTTCGTTCGTTCGTTCGTTCGTTCGTTCTTCGTTTTCGTTCGTTTTTCGTTCTTGTTCGTTGTTCGTTCGTTCGTTCGTTCGTTCGTTCGTTCGTTTCGTTCGTTCGTTCGTTCGTTCTTTTCGTTCGTTCGTTCTTCGTTGTCGTTCGTTCGTTCGTTCGTTCGTTCGTTCGTTCGTTCGTTGTTCGTTCGTTCGGTTTCGTTTTCTTCGTTCGTTTCGTTCTTTCGTTCGTTCGTTCGTTCGTTCTTGTTCGTTCGTTCGTTCGTTCGTTCGTTCGTTCGTTCGTTCGTTCGTTCTCGTTCGTTCGTTCGTTCGTTCGTTCGTTCGTTCGTTCGTTCGTTCGTTCGTTCGTTCGTTCGTTTCGTTCGTTCGTTCGTTCGTTCGTTCGTTCGTTCGTTCGTTTTCGTTTCGTTCGTTTCGTTCGTCGTTCGTTCGTTCGTTCGTTCGTTCGTTCGTTCGTTCGTTCGTTCGTTCGTTCGTTCGTTCGTTCGTTCGTTCGTTCGTTCGTTCGTTCGTTCGTTCGTTGTTTCGTTCGTTCGTTCGTTCGTTCGTTCGTTCGTTCGTTCGTTTCGTTCGTTCGTTCGTTCGTTGTTCGTTTTCGTTTTCGTTCCCTCTTGTTCGTTCGTCTTTGCTTCGTTCGTTTTTTTCGTTAGTTCGTTAGTTCTTCCTAGTTCGTCTTTTCGTTCGTTTAGTTAGTTCTTTTTTTTGTTTTGTCCCTATGTTCCGTTGTCTGTCTATTGTATTACATTTACTATTTTTTTTTTTTTTTGTTGTTCATACTTTATGAATCCTTTCATTTTATTAAAGCCCGTGCATAGACTACTCTATATGATGTACATATTTATCTTTATATGACTGAGTTTTTAAATATTCAAATTATTGTTATTTAAAGAAATTTAAATAACATTTTGCAGACCATACAATTATTCTTATGTAAAATTTGTCACAATAAGCATCAAAAAAAAAAAAAAAAAAAAAAAAACAACAAATACTAAAAATGTTCTAACAAAAATTTAATTCTATGATGCTCAATAACATCAGTTATTATTTCTTTTGACTGAAGTGTAAATTTATAATGTCAAATATTTACAAAAGTAATTGAGCTAAAAATTATTAAAAATTTTACATAATAATTTCATAAAATATTTAACCTTTCTATTTTTGTAATTTACAATACAAATTATTTTGTATCTCACAAAGACCCCCATGTATGCAACAAATATTTAACATTTAAGCTTTAAAATATTCACATCATCATATTCACCTCTAATTTCGAGAATAACATTATGGTTTGTAAATGAATTTGATTAATTTTAGAATAAATTGATTTGCATTTAATGTTTGCTTTTGTAAACCTCAGGACCAACTCCTTCTAGGTGGTGATGAAGTGATGGTTTTCTAATATAATTAAAGATAAATGTAAAATAAGTGAATTACGAATATTTATTGATAAAGGCTTTAATTTCGAAAAAAATTTAAATGAAAAAAATTTATAAAAAATTTCTATAAGGAAAGAACATAACATAATATAAAAACATATTTTAAATAAGTTTCTATAGAAAAATTTCTGTACAAAAAAAAAAAAAAAAAGATTTTTCGAAATTTTTTTTTATATAATTATTAGATTATTTTGCTAACTAACTAACTAACTAACTACTAACTAACTAACTAACTAACTACTAACTAACTAACTAACTAACTAACTAACTAACTACAACTAACTAACTAACTAACTACTAACTACTAAACTAACTACTACTAACTAACTAACTAACTAACTAACTAACTAACTAACTAACTAACTAACTAACTAACTAACTAACTAACTAACTAACTAACTACCTAACTAACTAACAACTAACCTAACTAACTACTAACTAACTAACTACTAACTAACTAACTAACTAACTAACTACTACTAACTAACTAACTAACTAACTAACTACTAACTAACTAACTAACTAACTACTAACTAACTAACTAACTAACTAACTAACTACTAACTAACTAACTAACTAACTAACTAACTAACTAACTAACTAACTAACTAACTAACTACCTAACTAACTAACTAACTAACTAACTAACTAACTACAACTAACTAACTAACTAACTAACTAACTACTAACTAACTACTAACTAACTAACTAACTAACTAACTAACTAACTAACTAACTAACTAACTAACTACTAACTAACTAACTAACTACTACTAATAACTAACTAACTAACTAACTACCTACTAACTAACTAACTAACTACTAACTAACTAACTACTACTAACTAACTAACTAACAACTAACTAACTAATACGAACTACTAACTAACTAACTAACTACTAAGTAACTAACTAACTAACTAACTAACTAACTAACTAACTAACTAACTAACTACTAA